GTGAGTGGAGCTGACCTCCAGGACGTGTGGGTTGACCAGTTCACTCCTGGAGGTCAGCGTGTGACCCACTGTACGTGTACTCGGACGGGCCGCCACCTGGCCACGTTCACCCGTCGGCCTGGGTCGAGCCTGTACACACTGACTACTGAGTCTCCTCCGGTTGCTGAGTCTGGTCAGGTAGCCGCGTCTAGTCAGGTGTTTGCTGCCGCGTCCAGGTCTGGTCCGGAGTCTGCCCCCTGCTCGTGTCGTCTCCTGTCACACCAGACTCTCCTTTGGCACCACCGCCTTGGTCACCCCTCCCTGCCTCGTCTCTGAGGTATGGCCTCCCGAACCCTTGTCTCTGGTCTCCCCCGGTCACTCCCTCCCCTCCCACCGGGGCCTGCCCCTACCTGCGTTCCTTGCGTCGAGGGACGGCAGCGCGCCGCTCCTCACTCCTCCGAGTTCCCTCCGACGGAGGCTCCCCTGCAGACTCTCCACATGGACGTGTGGGGCCCAACCCGCGTCCGTGGACAGGGTCACGAGCGTTACTTCCTGCTGGTCGTTGACGACTACTCGCGTTACACCACTGTCTTCCCCTTGCGCCGCAAGGGTGAGGTCACTGAGGTGTTGATCACCTGGATCCGCGCTGCCCGTCGCCAGCTCAGCGAGAGTTTCGGCTCGGACCTTCCTGTTCTGCGTCTGCACTCCGACAGAGGTGGTGAGTTTTCCTCCGACATTCTGCGGGCCTTCTGTCGTGCGGAGGGCATCCGCCAGAGGTTCACGCTTCCGGCCCCCCCACAGCAAATTGGGATTGCTGAGCGCCGCATTGGCATGGTCATGGACGTCGCTCGTACGTCCATGATCCATGCAGCTGCTCCCCATTTTCTGTGGCCGTTCGCGGTCCAGTACGCTGCGCATCAGCTCAACCTCCAGCCCCGTGTCTCCATGTCGGAGACCACACCTACTCTGCGGTGGACGGGGAAGGTTGGCGATGCGTCTGTGTTCCGTGTCTGGGGATCTCGAGCTTTTGTCCGCGATTCTTCCGCGGACAAGCTGTCCTCCCGTGCTGTTCCCTGCTTCTTCCTTGGCTTCGCCCCTGACGCGCCTGGTTGGCAGTTTTACCACCCCACCTCGCGTCGTGTTCTGTCCTCTCAGGACGTCACGTTTGACGAGTCGGTTCCTTACTACCGTCTCTTCCCCTACCGCACTGCTTCCCTCCCCCCCCCGCCGCTCTTCCTCACTCCAGGTCCCCCTCCGGTAGACCCCCTCCCCCCTCAGGGTCCGCCCCCTTCAGGTGTGTCCCAGGTAGACACCCTCCCCCTTGGTACGCCTGTCGAGGTCACTGGTGACTCTGGTGCTGCTGGGGGTGGTGCTGCTGGGGGTACTGAGTCTGAGCGTGCGGAGCCTGGGGGTGCTGAGCCTGAGCATGCGGAGCCTGGGGGTGCTGAGCCTGAGCGTGCGGAGCCTGGGGGTGCTGAGCCTGAGCGTGCAGAGCCTGGGGGTGCTGAGCCTGCGTGTGCGGAGCCTGTGGGTGCGGAGCCTGGGGGTGCTGCGTCTCCTGGCAGTACTCGTGCTGCCTCCCTGCGGCAGTCCCGCCGACGGGAGCCTCTCTCGTCACAGCAGCTGCGCGAGTGGTACGACTGGTGCTGCCGACTTCGGAGTGGTGCTGCTGGAGCTGGAGACCCTGGAGGCGCTGGTGCTGCTGGTCCTGGAGGTGCTGGAGCTGCTGGAGCTGGTCCGGAGTCTGGGGGTGCTGAGCTCGGTGGTGCTGCGTCTCCCCGGCGGGAGCCTCTCTCGCCACAGCAGCTTCGCGAGTGGTACGCTTCCTACTCCCGCCCTCAGAGTGGTCCTGCTGCTGCCGGTGGTGACGGAGGTTCTGGAGGTGCTCGTACTGCGGGTACTGGAGCTGCCGGGACTGGTGGTGCTGCTGCTGCTGGAGGAGGTGCTGGTGCTGCTGGAGGTTCTGGAGGTGCTGGAGCTGCTGGTTCTGGGGGTGCTCGTCCTTCGAGTACTGGAGCTGCCGGGACTGGTGGTCCTGCTGCGACTGGAGGTCCTGGAGGTGCTCGTACTGCGGGTACTGGAGCTGCCGGGGCTGGAGGTGCTGGAGTTGCTGGAGGTACTGGAGCTGCTGGAGGAGCTGGTGTTACTGTGGCTGCTGGGGCTGCTGGAGCTGCTGGAGCTGCTGGAGCTACTGGAGGTACTGACTCTGGGGGTGCTGGAGCTGTCGGTGCTGGTGCTGGAGGCGCTGTGCGGCAGCGACCGTACTACGTTCCGCTTCTCCGCCAGGTTCTTGGTCTCCCGTCTTCCCCTGACTAGTCGCCGCTGGAGCTGCTGCCGTCTTCCCCTCCCGCTGCACAGCTGGACACTAGTGCGGAGCGTAGTGAGTCGGAGTCTCGTTCTCCCTCGCCTGTTCGCGCTGTTCGCACTGGTCGTCGTGTTCCGCGTCCGCGTCCTCCTCCTGTCCCTGGCACTCACACAATGGCACTGCGTCCTTCCTCTGTTCCTCTGCGTGTTCCCCTGCCCTCTCCTCCTGCGTCCTCTCTTCCTGACGTGCCTGACCCTCCGTCTGACTTGCTTCGTGCTGCCAGTCCTACTGTCACGCGTCTTCTCGCCACTGTTGTCACTGGCCCTTCGTTCGAGTCTACTGCTGCGTCTGCCCTTGTTGCTGAGCTTGTTGACTTTGCTGCTGCGTGTCGTCTCGACAACGCCTCTGCTCTTGTTGCTGAGTCTGAGTCTGACTGTCCTCCGTCCGTCGGGGGTGAGTGTGCTCTTGGCACGGACGTCCTTGAGGACAGGCAGGAGGACTTTGAGTGTTTTGCAGCTACTTTACCTCATCTCGTGTCCATGCTGATTGCACCTGAGGGAGACCCGGATGCACCAGACATCCCGACCCCGCGCTCTTACGCAGAGGCGATTGAGGGTCCCTACTCCTCTCAGTGGCAGACAGCCATGGACGCAGAAATGGCTTCCTGGAAGTCCACAGGCACCTACGTCGACGAGGTTCCCCCACCTGGGGCGAACATCGTCAGTGGCATGTGGATTTTCAGGGTGAAGCGGCCGCCGGGTTCTCCGCCTGTCTTCAAGGCGCGTTACGTTGCTCGAGGCTTCAGTCAGCGACAGGGAGTTGACTTCTTCCAGACCTTCTCCCCTACCCCGAAGATGACCACTCTTCGGGTGCTGCTGCACGTTGCCGCACAGCGTGACTATGAGCTTCACTCTCTTGACTTCAGCACAGCCTTCCTACAGGGCAGCCTGCACGATGAGATCTGGCTGCGCCGCCCACCTGGCTTCACTGGGTCGTTTCCTGCAGGTACCCAGTGAAGCCTCCGGCGGCCAGTCTACGGTCTCCGCCAGGCGCCTCGCGAGTGGCACGACACACTGAGGACGACTCTTGCTGCTCTTGGGTTTGCTCCTTCTACTGCTGACCCGTCGCTGTTTCTACGCACCGACACTTCGCTGCCGCCGTTCTACATCCTCGTGTACGTCGATGACTTGGTCTTTGCCACTGCTGACACTGAGGGACTCGCCCACGTGAAGTCGGAGCTGCAGAAGAGACACACGTGCACAGACCTGGGTGAGCTGCGCAGCTATCTTGGCTTGCAGATCACCCGGGACAGAGAACAGCGCACCATTACCTTGACTCAGTCACACATGGTGCAGCAGGTCCTTCAGCGCTTCCGCTTCACGTACTCCTCGCCACAGTCCACTCCTCTGCCTACCGGTCACTCGCACTCAGCTCTGCCTTCGGATGAGTCCGTAGAGCCGAGTGGCCCGTATCCAGAGCTTGTGGGCCTCATGTACCTGATGACCTGCACTCGACCTGACCTTGCTTACCCTCTTAGCATCCTGGCTCGCTACGTTGCGCCCGGGAGACACCGACCAGAGCACTGGGAGGCCGCTAAGAGGGTGATGCGCTACTTGTGCAGTACGTCGGGCATGGGGCTCGTGCTTGGAGGACGGGCTATAGTTGTCCTCACTGGTCACGCAGACGCTTCTTGGGTTGACGACTTGGCTACGCAGCGGTCGTCACAGGGTTACTCCCTCAGCCTTGGCTCCGGCTCTGTTTCTTGGCGGTCTACCCGCTCGTCTTCTGTTATCAGCTCCAGTTGTGAGGCTGAGATCTACGCAGGGGCCATGGTTGCACAGGAGATACGCTGGCTCACCTACCTGCTGACCGACTTGGGCGAGCCGCCTCGTTCTCCTCCAGTTCTGTACGTCGACAACAAGGCCATGATTGCCTTGTTTCAGGAGCACAGACTGGAGCACAGAACGAAGCACATCGCTCTGCGCTACTTCCTTGCTCGAGAGTTGCAGCAGCGTGGTCAGCTTCGTCTTGCTTACGTGGCGTCTCGGGCCAACACTGCTGATATCTTCACCAAGGCACTTCAGCCTTGTGATCATCAGCGTTTCTGTACTGTTCTAGGCCTTGTGCCTACTTGGCCTCACTTGCTTACTTTTTGATTTTGCTTGTACTGTGATCCATATACTTATACCTGCATGCTTACACTTGCTAGGTTGTGATCACTGTACTGCTTGTTCTCCTTTATATAACTCTACATGTGAACTGGCCTTGTGGCCATTTGCTTGTGCTCGGAATGCGTGGTGACGTTGTGATCCACCCTGAGCTTGACCTTGCTTCGTTCTCTTGCTTGTCCCCCACTTTGCCTATGGGGGTGTGTCAGAACTGTGCATTTATATGCTCTAGGCTGTAGTGGGGCACTCCTTATGGGGTACAGCCCAATTAGGTTTTGCTATACAAACCCTGTACTGCTGTCATTCTAGTCATTCTTCATTCCTACTTTCTGACATCGCCAAGAATTATGACTGGCTACCGCGACCTTTTCGAAATAACGGTAAGGCTTTTCCGTCCCCTACCCTCCCCTCCTTCCCGTCTTTTCACCCCAACACGAAGCACCTTCTTAAGCAACTTTTTAAACATCGGCCCTGCCGTAAATGTCGGTACCATTTGTATAGACCCTGGCCGTCCCTACGCGACCACAAGGTTTCCCCTTCCTGGAGCAATGCCACTTCAATTTTTGCTGCACGCCGGAAACAGGTGCGTTGGCAGCCTCGCTGGAGCAGTAATGCTGCTCTGCCGTCCTTCTTCCCAGACACATGCTGTCAACCCCCACTGGGTAAGAATGGCTGCTATCCCTCTCCCTTTCCACCAGCCACATGCCACCACTGCGACACCGGGCTTCCCCTCTAAATGCTTCCGCCCACAAGGTACGTTGAATCACGCCTCTACGTCCACCCAGAGAACTCCTATCCAGCTCACGCTCCCCCTGCATGCCCTCGAGGTCTGTTTCTCAACCTTCCAACTCTCCAACACACAACCTCCCCCCCCTCTCATTACCTCGATCTCTGCTTAACGCCTCACCCCCATGCCGTGCTTTCAAGCCGACATGGCGTCCAGACTCGGAAAGCCGACCAGGCTGCCGGTCACCCTTTCGGAATAGCTGTGGCCAACGCCTATGCTTTCGTCCCGCACTTTTTACCCACGCCTTCCGGTTCTCTCGACACTCCCCATATTCCCCGTATTCCGAGGCACCGCCTCGCGCCCGCGAGAACACCCACGTGGGCCGGATGGCCGACTGCTCCCACGGCTCCTACACCCACCGGTACACTGCCCTTCTCAGCCCCGTGTCGCTCCTTCCTCCCTTGGCCTGGGTACTCTGTGGAGTGCTCTCGCACGAGTCTATTTATCACCCTTCGTCCTCGCCTCTCAGCACTCACTCTTTCATTGCCTCTCACCGTTCTCTTTCTCCATCCCTTGTCTCGCGATATGGCGGATATCCCACAGTTCGACGAAGATATGGAGCTCACCGATGACATGCTCGAAGGGATGGACCTACCGGATGACCCCTCTGGATCCAACCTGCCCCGAACCCGATCGCCCACGGAGCTGCCCGCCCCCAAGAAACCCTGCGTCGAAACCGCCTCTGACATCCCTCCTCACGAACCGCCCGCTGCCACCTCGGTCGTCACGGAAGGACACGTGGACGCGCCGGGTACGTCCGCTGAACACACCACCAACACGGGTTGCTTCTCCGCCGCAGCCTCTGATGCCGCACCGAGCGACTCTGCACCCTCCGTTCATGCTCCACCTACCGCTGCTCCAAGCTCCTCAGCCCCGGCCGCGCCTACCGCCCCGGAGAACCAGCCTGTGGACCGAAACTCCGGGCCTGCGCCCCTCCGCTCCCTCCGCCAGCCTCCCCCCGCCCTGCCCCCCCCCCCCCCCCCCCCCCCCCCCCCCCCCCCCCGCCCTCCCGATGAGCAGCCGTACGGTCGTTACGCTGCTCTTCCCCGAGCCAGGCGCTGACGCCATCCGCCCCATTTTGATCTCCAAGCTTTTCGCCAAACTGACCCCCTCCCTCTTCGACTGCGGTTATGTCCCTGAAGCCCGCGCTACCAACGGCGATACCCTTTGCTTCGCCGGTCGTGTCTACGCGTCGATCTGCTTCTCCTGGCCGACCAGGCAGTCTGCCAACGAATTCCTCCCCGTCTTCAGGAACCCCATCGAACTCTCCCCCTGTCGCTCCATCACTGTCAAGCCTTACATCGACCCCCATCCCGACCTCACGGAGGCCAAGGCGAACGGCGCCCCGGTACTCTCCCTGCGCAGGGTCCCGGCCCGCTTCGAGGACTCTGACCTCCTCGTGTACCTGGTGCCGCGCTGGCTTACGGGTATCAACTCCTTCCATCGCATGAAGGACCCCTACGCGGGGGTCTTTCTCATCCTTACTGGCATCCCCATCCCGCTGCCGGAAGACCCGGACTTCCTCACCATCCCGGCCCTGATCCCCACCGGCGGCAACGCCCCGGACATCCTCGTGAATGTCTCCTCCCACGAATGCTCTATCTGTGCGAGCAACCACCGGGTGGAGGACCACGCTATCTTCCCCTGTGAGCGCAAGGGACACCTCAACAACAAGGCGCAGCTCACCGTTGCTGCAGAAGGCGAATGGTAACCGTTCCCGCCCTACCCCCCTCCCCTCTGCCCCGCCCCCTATTCGCCTCCCATTAAGCTACCGCCTTGTCGCGGGTTCATTTAAAGCAAGCCTCTTTGCCGTCAGAATTCCCAAGTTGCTCGCCACTGCCAACGTGACCGCACCCAAGGAGACGTTCTACACCTGGAGCTTCTCCGCTTTCCAGAAGAAGGGGGATATCGAGGCCTTCCTCAAGAGGATGAAGCTCATGGCTCGCGCATAACCGCCCATCGCGTGTCGCACTTTCGCTGCCCTTGCTTTCTAGGTTTGAGTGGTACACCCTATGAACCACCAATAAAACTCGACCTTGCCTGGAGCTCGTTTGCAAGTGTTCCTTCACTAGCTCTCTCTCTAAAAATAAAAACTTCCAACCTGTATCCAAACCTGTTCACATATAGAGAGTTAAGCACACGTTGGAAAGGCACTAAAGAACATACCATTCCATACTGCCAATACAACTCAAGACACCCTGCAGCCCCCTGGAGCAAAGCCTACCCCCTCACCGAGTAAACAATGCCGGCCCTGCAGCCTCACCGCCCTCATAGGCAACCACGCCCTCATAGCTGTTAAGTGCCGACCCACACCTCTTTCGACGGCAAGCTACATGAACGACCCACCCTTCTTACGACAGTACAGCAAGACAATGTTGGAATGCCCTCCCAAACGCCCCCCCGGGATCATGCAAGTACATCTCCCCTCTCCCCCTCCCCTCTCTCGCCCCGTCCGCCCCCATAACAAATCCTTTTATATCTTAGGCCGTGGATACGCACGTTCTCCCGTGCGGTGGCCTTCACGACGTCATCATGTTAACACACCTCCGCATCCTATGCATCAATGTGAACGGAATCAATGAGACTCGCAAAATGGACGAGCTCAAATCCTGGCTCGCAGACCTCCCTGCCCCCACTGTAGTCATCCTCATAGACACCCGACTCATCCACAGAATCCCCAACCTTGACCTGTAGTTTCGACCTCACGCCTCCGCCCACGCCCCGGCACTGCTCTCGACTGACGGCGCAAGTGGAAGGCCCACCAACATCGGAGGCGTTTCCATCCTTTCCTTCAACAGGGCAATCTCACTGTCTTCTCCGCTCCCCTCTGCAGACGGCAGACTCATCACAGTTCATCTCAACTATCTCCGAGAGCAAATCCGCCTCATAGCCATCTATGCACCCACACAATTCTATGAGCGTCGTGTTTGGTGGACCACCACGCTTGTCCCGGCACTGGAAACCCCCACTGCTGCCTCTGCGTCCATGCTTGTCGGAGATTTCAACTCCGTCATCCTCCCTATTGACAGAAACCGCCCCCCTAAGGACTACGAGAGCAGAGAGGGAGCGTCCTTCGCCAAACTCATGGACGCTCACGCGCTGGTTGACACCTTCCGCGAACTTTATCCCACACATGCCGACGTCTTTTCCTTCTTTGGTAGGCAACGCCACAACTCAGTGTCCCCGCCCACATCCTCCCGCCTCCACAAGATCTACGTCTCCCGAGCCTTCCGCACACGGCTCGCTGCTAGCCCATACCTCCAAGCCCGCTCCGTGATTACGGATCACCTTTACGCCCCCCTCTACTCGCTCTCTTTCCTCAACCCCACTGTCGCCCCCCGTCCCTGGCGACTCCGCTAACATCTTCTCATACGCCCCCGTGCTACGCACATCATAGACGCCGCCCTCGCAGCCTTCCCCTCCTCCCCTTCCCCGGACTCCTGGGACAGATGGAAACTCGACCTCACCCTTAACTTCAAAACTTTCTCGAACCAGGAAAAACGTCGTGTAGATGGCATGACTGCGCATCTCGAGCACACCATCAGCTCTTTATAGCTGCAGGCGGCGACCGCGCCTTTGACTCAGGACGAATCTGCCCGCCTTGACCAAGCACGGCTCCACCTGGCCAGATACGAAGCCTCGAAAGCCTCCGAGATCGCACTCAAGGCCAAGCTCAAAGTGGAGGGGCACAGAGAAATGGGAGTATCCTCCCTGCTCTCCGGCCTCAACTCGAGAATCAAAGGAACGATCATCAACTCCCTGCCCCTCCCCAATGGGCAGATGACTTCATACCTCTCCGCCATGACGACCTTGTGCTCCAACGTTTCCAAAACCTTTACAGTGGAAACAACCCTGTCACCCCTAACCCATCCGTCTGGCCCCCATCCTCCATCCCGAACCCCCTACTCCTACGTCTCAGTGCCCCTCTTTCCCTAGCCGAAATCGGAAAGGCCCTCCTCTCACTATCACGCGGAAAAACCCCAGGCCCAGACGGCCTTCTGTCAGAATATAATGCTTGTCTAGTCTGTAGTGGGGTACTCAATAGTGAGTATAACCCTTTTAGGGCTTGCTATTTGTACCTCCCTCCTTTCTAGTCAAACCCTCCTTTTGCCTATTCTCTCTTGCCTAGCTAGCTAAACCCTAGTTATGGCTCCTGCGTTCTGCCTGCTATTCTAACATGGTAACAGAGTGGTTACGCTCCTGGCCTGTGGGCCCGCCTGCTTCCGCTGCCATACTGTCTGTCGCGCGCACCGTGGCGCGCGACGTTCTTTTTTCTTCCCGCCACGTGCTCAGGGCGCGTGGCGGTTTTCTGCCCGCCACACGCTCGGGGCGCGTGGCGGTTTCCTGCCCGCCGTGTGCCCCGGGCGTGCGCGGCGGTTTCGTTTCGTGCTCCGTCTCGCGCGCTCCCCCCCGTCGTCCGTCGTGGCGCCCCCGGGGACCCGCGGGCTCCCCCCGTCGTTCGTCGCGGCGCCCTCAGGGACCCGCGCGCTCCCCCCCCGTCGTCCGTCGTGGCGCCCCCGGGGACCCGCGCGCGGCCCCCCCCGTCGCCCGTCGTCCGTCGTGGCGCCCCCGTCGACCCGCGCGCGGCCCCTCCGTCGCCCGTCGTCCGTCGTGGCGCCCCCGTCGACCCGCGCGCCGCCCCTGGGGACCCGCGCGCCCGTCCCCGTCGACCCGCGCGCCCCTCTTGTGGACCCGCGCGCCGCCCCCGGGGACCTCCGCGGCCGCCCCCGTCGACCCGCGCGCAGCCTCCTCCCCCCACCCCCCCCCCCCCCCCCCCCCCCCCTCCTTCTTCTTCGCCTCCCTGCTGCGCGTGCTGTCGTGGGGTGGAGGGTGTGGGGGTGGCGGGTATGGGGGTGGTGGGTGTGTGAGCCGTCCCCTGCTCCTCCTCCTCCTCCGTCTCCCACTGCTGCAGCTGCCGCTGACGGGGGTGGGTGTGTGGGAGCCGAGGGAGTGGCGCTATGGGGGTGACATGGGAGTGGAGCTAGGGGTGCAGCAAGGGGTGTGTGTAAAGGGGGGTGGGACGGTTGGGGGAGGTTGGGCGGAGGTAGCCGTCGCGTCGCCAGCAGCGCCAGTAGTCCGGAGGCTACAATCTCCGGTAGCCCAGTGAGCCTGCTGCGCCAGTCGCCCGTGGGTCAGTTGCTCCAGCCACTCGGCGTAGCCGCGGAGCCAGTTACTCCTGTAGTCCGGAGGCTACAATCTCCGGTAGCCACTGAGCCGGCCGCTCCTGTTGCCCGTGTGTCTGCATCTTCAGCCGTCGCCTCCCATCTCCTCTCCTCTCACAGTCCCTCCTCCTCCTCACTTGCCCTCTGTGAATGCCTCTAGCTTTGCTTGTACTTGTGAACCTGCTCTGTGACTTCTTGCTGTGCTGATTATACCCCACTTTGACTATGGGGGTGTGTCAGAATATAATGCTTGCCTAGTCTGTAGTGGGGTACTCAATAGTGAGTATAACCCTTTTAGGGCTTGCTATTTGTACCTCCCTCCTTTCTAGTCAAACCCTCCTTTTGCCTATTCTCTCTTGCCTAGCTAGCTAAACCCTAGTTATGGCTCCTGCGTTCTGCCTGCTATTCTAACACCTTCCCGGGGAGCTCTTCCGACAATTCTCCCCGCGCTTTGCCCCGTCTTTCCACTCCCTGCTCTCACCAACACAACCACTTTCCCGCCTCCCCCCGTAGGGATGTGGGGATGGACAGCGGTTTAGGGGAGTGGGGATGGACCGAGGGAAAGGGACGTGGGGATGGACAGGGGGCAAGGGGAGTGGGGATGGACAGGGGGAAAGGGAAGTGGGGATGGACAGGGGGAAAGGGAAGTGGGGATGGACAGGGGGAAAGGGAATTGGGGATGGACAGGGGGAAAGGGATGTGGGGATGGACAGGGGTTTAGGGGAGTGGGGATGGACCGAGGGAAAGGGAAGTGGGGATAGACAGGGGGCAAGGGGAGTGGGGATGGACAGGGGGAAAGGAAAGTGGAGATGGACAGGGGTTTAGGGGAGTGGGGATGGACCGGGGGAAAGGGAAGTGGGGATGGACAGGGGGAAAGGGAAGTGGGGATGGACAGGGGGAAAGGGAAGTGGGGATGGACAGGGGGAAAGGGAAGTGGGGATGAACAGGGGGCAAGGGAAGTGGGGATGGACAGGGGGAAAGGGAAGTGGGGATGGACAGGGGGCAAGGGGAGTGGGGATGGACAGGGGGAAAGGGAAGTGGGGATGGACAGGAGGCAAGGGGAGTGGGGATGAGAAGGGCAAGGGGGGGCGCACGGGCGAAAACCAGGCACACACCAGGTACATACCAGGTACGTACCAGGAGTCGGGGACACTCACACTAGTACACCCGAGAAGTCGTGTCAGAATCAGGCCTGTCAAGAGGCTTGATTGCTAAGTCAGCGGGGGCGCCGCAGGCGTGACTGGATGGAACGCTGGGAGGGACAGAGGGAAGGCGAATTGGGGAGGGACAGAGGGAAGGCGAATTGGGGAGGGACAGAGGGAAGACGAATTGGGGAGGGACAGAGGGAAGGCGAATTGGGAAGGGACAGAGGGAAGGCGAATTGGGGAGGGACAGAGGGAAGGCGAATTGGGGAGGGACAGAGGGAAGGCGAATTGGGGAGGGACAGAGGGAAGGCGAATTGGGGAGGGACCAGATGGAGGGGGAAAAGGGGAGTGAGAAACAGGGATATGGAAAGGGAGGCATTGAGGGAAGGGGAAATGGGTACTGACTGTGAAAAGGGGAAATGGGGAGTGACTGGAGAACGGGGAAATGGGGAGGGACTGGGCGAAACGGGATATGAGGAGTGACTGCGAAACGAGGAAATGGGGAAGGACAGAGGGTTGGATAAATGGGGAGTGGCAGAGGGATGCCGAGATGGGGAGGAAAAGGGATATGATGAGTCACTGGGAATTGTGGAAATGGGGAGGGATGGAGGTAAGGGGAAATCGGGAGTGGATGGGATATGGGGAAATGGGGAGGGATTGGGGGAAGGGGAAATGGGCAGTGACTGTGTATATGGGGAAGGGCAGCAGAAGGGGAAGGGGAAATGGGAAGTGAGAGGTAAAACGGGAAGTGGGGCAAGGCAGCAACCCGCCTTGGAATCCGTCTAGAAGAGAGCCGGCACGGTGCAATGCCTTGCAATCTGCCTGAACACTAGCAGGTGCGGCGCTGGGCCTTGCAGCCTGGATAAAAACGAGCAGTTTCGGCGCAGTGCCTTGCAATCCGTCTGGGCAGGTGGAGGCGCGGTGCACTGCAGTGCAGGAAAAGGTTGAAAACGAACAGGCGTGGCGCAGTGCCTGGAAATCCGCCCCTAAAAGAGGCGGCGCAACACAGTGAGGATCAAATCGTCTGAGAACGAGCATCGCGGCGTGCTGCCTTGCAATCCGTATGGAAACGCGCAAGTGAGGCGCGGTGCTTTGCAATCCGTCTGGAAACGAGCAGGCGCGGCGCGGTGCCTTGCAATCCGTTCTAAAACGAGCAGGCGTGGCGCTGTGCGTAGCAATCCGTATGAGTGTGAGGTGGCGGGGCACAGTGCCTTGCGATCTCCGAAAATGCGGAGGCGCGTCAAATTGCCTTGCACTCCGGGAGACCGAAACTTCTTTGGGGCGACGTGGCATTGGAATCAACCCTAAATCACATAATGGGCGCAGCGCACCCTAGCATTCCGTCCGTACGCGAGTAGCATAGGCGATGTGCCGTGCAATCCGTACCTAAGCCTGCGTACGCAACTCAGATGCTTGCGCTGCCCCTCGAATGCAGGAGTGTCGGCCTACAGTGGGGGTCGTGCCCGTTCGCTACTTCTATCCCCTGAAGCAAAGGTCGTACCTGGTGTTTTATTTGCTAGCGGAATGAATGGTCAATGCCGTCACTTTATTTGTCGTGGAGACTGAACACGCCAAGAGGTAGAGTCTCAGAAACAGCAGCTATGACCGTTTGCTCCCGAAATATGAGTCTAAGCACGCTTCGCTTTCGTTGAACGGTTTCGTGACTGAATACGCTACCCTTTTTATTCCGCGTTTAGTGCCGTATCTGTGGCGCTAGTGAGTTTAGACTTGGTAGCGTGGAACCCAGGTCCACTTTGAAGAGCAAGTTTGGGCCCACTGGAACAGTCGAGCTCTGTCCTGCCCCCCTCTCATATTTTGGTGGCTCTGTTCTCACACGTTAGTTCGTATCGTGTTCCCCCCTCCCCTCTTTGCGCACATTTCAATCCGTTTCCTCTGTCTCACATGTTAGCCTTTGCTTTACATGGATTGAATTGGCGAACACGCCCACCAATGCACTGGATCGTAAGGGGACCAAAACCTCGCCGTCCAATCAGATTCTGATGGTTGCTTCTCTTTAGAAAATTACAAGGTGTTCATGAACAGTGGTTCGATTCTTGTCGAGCAGGGAGCACCCTCCTGAAACAGTGCCAGAGTTTCAAACTGGCACTCCCTTCACTATTTTACCTATAGGAACTGAACAAAACATGTCCCATAAGCAATCTTTGTTGCATCTCGTTTCACCCCGAGTCGCACACGCAACCAACCCATCTTCGTCGAACGCTCCCATGTCCAAAAACGGTGCCTTGTTGAACACGCCATGGTCCAACCTCAATTTTCCCGTCAAACACAATCTCCCCCTCTACTCATTTCTTCCTCCAACTTCACTCCTTCCTCTCCGTTTCTTTCTAGTTTCTCTCCCAATTCCATTACCGATCTCTAGCACTGGTGCGTTCACAGAGCAATTTGGCAAGAGTTTCACAAGGGAATGTTGCATTACAGAATGATAGCAATGGCAATGGCAACAATGACTACATCAGAGCCTAGCAACCCTGCACCCAAGCTGGTCGACCGCCAGCCCAGCAAGGTCGACAGCCTACTAGCGTTGCGTAGAGGCACCGCGCCAGCTTTGCCAACCTGCGAACGGAGCAAGTCGGCGGCTTGCCAACGCTGCACCAGGGCGGTCTGCTAACGCTGCATCAGAGCGGTCTGCCATCGTTGCATCCGCAGGTGACAGTAGCGCAAGTGCGCACCTACTTCGCAGGTGAGCAGCGACGGTCGAGCGCGTTCTCTACCGTCGCGCAGGTGCTAGGTCGGCCACGTGCCGACAGTTGCGCCAGAAGCTCCTCGTCGACCTCGGGATACCAGCCCGAGGTCGCCTTCGCCATCGCAGACTCGACGACGTTCGCGTGCCTCCGCAGAACCTTGACGAGCAGGTTATCTGGTCGAGCTGCTGCCGTCGAGCTCACTCCGTCGACGGCTCCTCGATAGACCCGCGCAGGTCGACCTCCCGGTCGATGTAGACCGCCGGCTCCCGTCGACGGCTGCATCGCAGAGGTCAACCGCAGGTCGACCACCTTGTCGACCTGCACGCCCAACCCGGCGTCGACCTCTGCAGAACAGTCGGCTGCACCTCCCGCGCACCCGACCACGAAACCGTCTTCGCCCAAGCGAGGGCTGCGGAGATAACTCGTACAACGGCAGCTAGTCTACGGGGTAGGCATGAGGTAGGAGTGATCGTAGCGTTCGTTCCTTAGTCGTTCACTTGTGCTCTCTCTACTTGCGTATTCACAGGGAAAGTTGGAATGAGTTTCACTAGCAAAAGTTCACAACAATGGTACACAATGCAAAGCACTAATGGACTACATCAGATGCTAGCAAGCATGCAGGTCGACTGCCAGCGCAGCACGGTCGACCGCGTTCCTGTTGGTGCAACCCTACGGTTTGCACTCGGCTTGTTGTCCGTGTGCGTGAATGTGTGTGTGTATGGAATGGTATGAGGGCATGGGATAATATATATTTCATGCTTATAATTGTGTGTGAATGTTGAGTCATGATGTCGAGTGTGTGTGTCGAGTCAATAGCGAGTTATCGCTAGACGCGTGTTACGCGGTCGTTTGTGTCTCGCGCGCGGTTTCTATTTTGTCGTGCGCGGTTTCTATTTTGTCCTGTGTCGAACGTTCGGCGTGTCGCAGGTGTGTGCAGCAGACCCATCAAGAACTCAAGGATGAGTTTGTGATGAAGAGCCCGAGCCTTGGTGTCAAGCCTCAAGTGATTTCGAAGCTTGCCAAAAGGGTACCACTTGTTATAGTCACAATAGGCTATCTCTTACTTGGGCAAGCGTTGGGGAGCAGTCAGATCCGTCACATCAAGCCATTCCAGCGTGAACCAGAGAAAGGACCAAAGGCATGGGCTGCTCTCAAGGGTGTACATGCTCCTGCAACAGCGGCGGTAGCGGTGGTGTTGGAACGGCAAATGGCGGCACTACGAATTGAAGAAGACGAAGCGGTTGAAGAAGGGGTGCAGAAATTCTTCGACTTGTTGACGCGGCTTGAGGGAGCTGATTTGAACTACAGTGAGCTCCAAAAGAAGACCAAGTTGCTGGCCTTACTCCCAGAGTCATGGTCCTCGCTCATCATCAACCTTAATCGCGACTTGCCCCGCCTCTCGCTTGAAGACGTGAAGCGAGCTATCCTTCAAGAGGATTTCCGCCGCCGTGAGTTGGCGAGTGCGGATGGCGCTGGGGCAGCGAGCATCGGCCGTGGATATGGTCGAGGAAGAGGTAGAGGACGAGGGGGAGGAAGGTTTGGTGGCAGCAACTTCGGCGGAGGCCGCAGGAGTGGCGGTTACGGCAGCGACGACAAGAGCTACGGACGCGGTCGCGGCCGATTCGACGGCGAGTGTCACTATTGCCACAAGAGCGGACACATGTGGCGCGACTGCTACAAACTCCCTGATGGTTGGACCCCTGCTCAAGGCCAAGAGGGTAGAGGAGCAGGAGGAGGGAGAGGACGAGGCCGTGGAGGCCGTGGCGGTCGTGGTGGCGGAGCTGCAAACATGAAGAGCGGAGACAACGACAAGGACCCGAGCGACGATCGATACCCGGGTCTATTCTACTTCGTGTCGACGCAAGTACCGGCTGGTCCAGAGAAGGATGAAGGCTTTGAGGAGCCAGCAGCTGTGGGGAAGGTGACCCTACACCCCCTGGACTATTGGGTGATTGATAGTGGCGCTACCTATAGCATGACACCTCGCCCGGACTTGCTCACCGAACTCGAGCCGTCACCGGTGAAGCATGTCACATCGGCTTTGGGGCAGCGAGCAGAGGTGAAAGGCATGGGCAAGGCCATGTTCAAGGGTGCTGATGGGAAGATGGTGGGCCTCAAGAACGTGCTTTGGGTGCCCAGCCTTGCTGCAAACCTGATTTCCGTGCGGCGGTTGGCAAAGGCCGGCATGGACACGAACTCGAAGGGAGCCAAGACCTACACCGCAAGGCTTGGCGATCGAATACTTTGGGACCTTCATGAGGACAGGGATGTCTACAACGAGATGTGGCAGATCCCAGTGGTCCCTATGCCTAAGGAGAGGCAAGTGGCAGCAAGCATCAGCACCAAGGATGGAGCGGTCGGTAGCGACGATGGCGCGAACGGTCGCGCTAAGGAGAATGAGCTCAAGAAGAGCAAACCTGGAGGGACCAGCAAGTTCAGTGAACCTAAGGAGAGTGGTGCAGCAACCAAGGAGCAGCAAAAGGGTGAGGAGAACCCAGAGGCAGCAGCGGAGGAGGACTACGGAGAGAGTATGTGGGGCGCTATTGCGAGCGCGGCATTCTCCAATCCAACTTCGGCTACGGGGGAGTGTGATTGGCTCACCTTGCATCGGCGCATGGGGCATGTGGCCCTGCCCATCTTGCAGCAGCTAGTGAAGAATGAGATGGTTGCTGGCATACGTGTGAAGGGGGAGCCCGATGAGGTGCTTGGCTGCCCGACGTGCATTCAAGCCAAGTTCACCCGGTTTCCGTTCCCTAATTCGGAGGCAACGGCAAAGGCACCGCTTGATGAGGTGGTGATGGACGTGGTGGGCCCCCTGAAGCTTGGAGATGCTGGAGCCGAGTATTTTCTCACCATTGTCGACGTCTACACCCGCATGACTTGGGTGTACGTGCTGGCCAAGAAGAGCGACGTGGCTGAAACGTTGAAGACGGATTGGTTCCCGATGGTGGAGCGGCAACAAGACCGTCTAGTCAAGTCAATCCGCACCGATCGAGGGGGAGAGTTCCTGCGCAAGGAGTTTGGGTTGTGGCTGAAGAAGAATGGTATTCGGCACTCCCTCACCATGCCATACTCCCCTGCAATGAACGGCATCGCCGAGCGAGCGAACCGCACAATCACGGAGGCGGCACGCGGGTTGCTCATTGAAGCCGGGCTACCCGACTATTTCTGGCCTGATGAGGTGCGGAGCGCGTGTGTGGCCAAGAACAGAGCCTTGACTCATGTGGGAGCAGACAAATGGGTGCCCTATGTGGAGTGGCTAGGAAGGAAGCCAAAGGTGGATATGCTTCGGGTGTTCGGGTGCATGTGCATGGCGCTCGTGCCTAAGCATCT